AGCTCTTCTCTCCAGTGTGTCCTAGCAGTTTTACAGTTTGCAGTCTTAATGTTCGAGTCTTTAATCCACTTTGGGTTGATCTTTGTATGATTTGAGGTGAGAGCCTAATTTTATTCTCCTAGGATGGCTATCCCGTTTTCCACCACAATTATAGAAGAGACTGTCTTCTTTGTTGTGTGCTGTTGGTGTCTTTGTTAAAAAGAAAAATCGGGTGACTGTGAATGTTTGGGTTTACTTCTAGGCTCTCCATTCTGTTCCACCGATCTTCGTATCTATTTTTATGTCATTTCCATGTGTTTTTGATTACTCTATCTTTGCAGCAGATTTCGAAACAGGGCAGTGTGATGTCTCCAGCTTTTTTCTCTTTTTCTCCAAATTGCTGCGGCTTTCTGGATCTTTCATGGTTCTGTAAGCATTTTAGGATGTTTTCTGTTTCTGTGGAAAATGTCACTGGGATTTTCATACAGATTGAATTGAATCTGTAAATCACTTTAGGTGATATGGATATTTAAACAGTATGAATTCTCCCAACCTATGAACACAGAATATCTTACCACTTATTTCTTCAATTTCGTTTATCGGTGTTTCAGTTTTCATTGTACAGATCTTTCATTTCTTCTGTTAAATTTATTTTTAAGTATTTTTATAACTATTATAGATGAGATTATCTTTTATTTTCTTTTTCAGAAAGTTTGTTGTCAGTGTTAAAAGCTGATTTTTTGTATATTGATTTTGTATCCTGCAATTTTACTTACTTTTTTAGTTCAAACAGTGTTTTGGGCAGATCTTACCTACGTAAAAGATCTCATTCACAAAGACGATTTAACTTTTAATACTTCTATTATTATAATTGTTTATTGTTATAAATTTCCACATAGAAGCTATTTTTGTTGTACCTAAGCTTTTGACATGTTGTGCTTCCATTTTTGTTTGTCTTAAAATATTTAAAATGTTGGACCCATCAGTTTATCAGAAGCATATTGTTTAATTTTCACATATTTGTGATATCCGAAGTTTCATTCTATTTTTTAGTTTCATATCATTTGTTTGGAAATGAAACTTGATGCAATTTCCATTCTTCTGAAATTTGTTAAGACTTGCCAGACATGGTGGCACACACCTGTAATCCTAGCCCTTGGGAGGCTGAAGCAGGAGGATTGCCACAAATTCAAGGCCAACCTGAACTAGTATATAGTGAGAGCCTTTGTTAAGACTTGGTTTGTGGCATAACTTGATCTATTCTAGAGAATGTTTTATGTGTGCTCAAGAAGAATGTGTATACTACTTTTGGATGGAATATTCTGAATTTCTCTGCTCAGTTCATTTGGCTCAAAGTCTAGTTCAGGTCCAATAATACTTCATCTTCTGCCCATTGTTGAAAGTGGCAGAGTGGAGACCTCTGCCTCACTGTGTTTCATTCTGACTCTCTCCTGATCTGTTCATTTTTGCTTTATACATTTAGACGATCTAATGTTGAGTGTGTATATATTTACAATTATATCTTCCTGACAACTGGTCTCTTTATTATTATATTATGATCTTCTTTGTCCTGTTTCATAATTCTAAACATAGAAATAGCCCATAGTTGGGTCTTTTAAAAAATTTGCTAAGCACTCTATGTCTTTTGTTTGAAGAATTTAATCCTTCGCATTCAAGGTAATCACTGATAGGTCAGGACTGTCCATTGCCACTTTGTTTGTTGTTTTCTTATTTTGCAGCTCACTTGTTTCTTTTTTCTTTTCTCACGCTGGCGTCTCCCTTTGTGGTTAGATGATATTCTCCAGTGTTATACTTTCTTACCTTTTGTACCTGCATTTGCATTTTGCTTTGTGGTTACTCTGTGGCTTACAACAAATGTAGTTAGAACAGGTTGAACCTGACAACTTAAATGTAAATGCATCAAATCACTCCATTCTTTTTACTCCACCTCTTCCAACCTCTAGTTTCTGATGTCACAGTTTACATGGTTTTATATTATATAACCCCTTACCAGATTATTGTGACTATTATTTTAACAGATTTTTAAATGTACATAAACTATAAATGATATACACACCACAATTACAGTAGTAGGGCTTTCAGATTTTTCTATACTTTACCAGTGATTTTCATTTTTTTACAGTTTGTGTTACAAATTGTTTTCTTTTGACTTGAACTGTTTAGTATTTCTTTTAATATGGGTCTGGGAGTGACAAATTCCTTCAGTTTTTTCATGTCTGGGAAAGTCATTATTTCCTTTTTATTTCTAAAAGACAACTTTGCCAGTTAAAATATTGTTTTCTTTCTTGTACCAGGAATCAAACTGAGGACCCTATATGTGCCAGGCAGGTGCTGTGCCATTGAGCTATATCCCCGGCTCTACAATATCCTTATTTATCAGGGTTTAAAAAAAATTTTAGTATTTTGAATGTATCATCTCACCCTCTCCTGGCCTGTAAAGTTGTTGTTCATAAGTCTAGCACTAGCTTTGTTGGAATTCCTTTATGCAGGTTGAACAACTGAAATCCAAAACGTTCCAAAATCCAGAATTTTCAAAATGCCAACATAACACTCAGTTTTGGATTTGGATTTTTGAATTAGAGATGCACAGCTCATAAATCTACGCTAATAGCCCAAGAAGGAAAAAAAAATAAAATTAGAAACATCTGGTTCCAAACATTTCTGATAAAGGCTTTTCAACCTGTGTATGATTTGCTTCCTCCTCTCCCTTCTTTTGAAACACTCTTTTTTATTTTGGACAGTTTTGTTATAAAAATGTCACAGGGTGGACTTGTTTGGATTGAATGCAGTTGGAAACCTCTGATTTCTGTACCCGATATTCTAGTTTCTCTCACATTTGGAACGCTTTATTATATTACTTTTCCGCTTTATGTCTTTTGTCTCTTTTTTGGGGGGGGGCGTGTTCTCCAGTACCGGGAACCGAACTCACGACTTTGCGCTTGCCAGGCAGGCGCTTTTGCCGCGTCTTTTGTCTCTTTGCTTCCAGAATTTCTGTATGAACATTTATTCATGTTTCCCCTCAGATCCTGTGAGCTTTCTTCACTCCTGTTATTCTTTCATTTTTTCCTCTTGTGACTGTATATTTTCCAATAGCCTGTCTTTGAGTTCACAGATTTTTCTCCTGTCGATGCCTTTTCTTGCATTTTTCATTGCATTCATTGTGCATTGCAACGCCAGAATTTTTAATACAAGTATTGTTTCTATGTTTTCAGTCTGTGAAATGTTTTACTTTGCTATTGTTTCTCCTGATCTCATTGAATTGTTTCCATATTTTATTAATATTTGCTGGGCTTCCTCAAACCAACGTTATTTTTTAATTATTTTGAGTTCTTGGTCAGGTAGCGCATACATTTCTTTGGGGTAAACTACGGGGAAGATGTGTTCACCCGTTGGCACTTTGTTTCTTTGGTTGCTTACATCGATGCGTACGTTTGCTGGGGCGGTGACTCCCTGCAGACTTTACGTGGTCGTTTACCCTGGAAAGACCTTCCCTGTGCAGGCGTTGCAAGAAAACAGAATTTCTGGTGCCAGGCAGGACACCGTCTGTACAGTCTTGGTACAGGTGTGATGCCCGAGGTTGGTTTTCATAAAGTGCAAGGACCCTCAGTCGTTGACACCATGAGCATTGCAGTGGTGACGGGCTTCTTGGCGTGGTCTTCAGCGACAGCGGCTGCAGACGTCCTACTGACCTTTTTCCTGAGGAAGCTGTGGCTGTGAAGATCCCTTGGGTGCTTGGCTGTGATGAGTGGAGCCCGTGGAACAGCCGGGGAGCCGAGACCTGAAGCACAGGCACACGACTGCAGCTCTGGGATCGGGGTTGGTGGCACTGGGCCCGGGGCACAGGCGCCCCTGCTGCCACACTGATATGTTTTTGAGGCATGAGTATTTGTGAAATAGTTGGGGGTCCAGGAATGCGTGCACTGTTAGGCTCTGAGGTCAGGACGGCCCTAGATTTGTGAAGACTCCGCTGGTTCCTGGAGTACAGGCACATGTGAGGGTTTGAGCCTAGGGCCTGGAGTTGAAACCAGCTTGCTGTGGTATCTGAGTTGTGGACAGGCCCAGTGAAGCTACAGAGCTGGGCACTGGAGCACAAAGCCCATGGAGCAGATGTGGCCCCACTGTCAGGAGCGGCACTATTTCCTTTCTTTGCATGGTTCAAGAGCAGCACTTCTCGATGTTGGGGTGAGTGGGGCTACACATCTATGCAGGGCTTGGGTTCTCTAGCAGGAGTAACTGTAGGTGACCTCAGTGATGAGACACCAGTGTTTTCTGCACAGCAGGTTGTTGAAACCTAAGTGGCTGCCCCGTGTGGCAATTCCAGTAGCCGCCGCCTTTTTGCTTTGCACCTGCTTGTCTCTCTGGCCCCTCAGCTGTGCCTATTGCACTAGCACTGGCCTCCATGTGAACACCCTGGGGCTTTGTTCTAGGTGCTGCTGCATATTCCCTAACGGGCTCTGAGCCTGCTCGGAGCTATTTGTGGCCTGTGTATAGCTCTCTATGTTTTCCTGTAGAGGGGGTGAAGCCTGTGTCTCCTACTCCACCATGTTGGTTATGTCACTCTGGACATTTCAATCATTCTTTCATGGTTCCACTTATTGGTTAAATAAATGATACGCTGGTGGCCTCACGTTTGCCCTGTGTATCCTCTTAATTACACTGTTGTGGAAAAAAAGAGCATTTTGGGTCAATTCAGTTGCCTCGTCATTTCTGAGAACACGAAGGCTCCAGAACGCAGAACTGGGGCACTTTCTGCAGCATGTTGAACTACTATTTAACACAAAAGGGATTCTAAGCCCTGGTTTCACATTAGAGCACATCTCTACCACTGACCTATGCCAGGAGAACCTTCTGACCTGGTGAGCGTTGGGTTCTTCCTGGTGGAATATACTCACTGTGCTCCGCATGCTCACTGCGGACAAGTTAGATGAAATAATTTAGGTCATTTTTTTTAAAGCATAATCAAGATATTTGGCAATATCTATGAGACACACTCCAGGAAAAAATGAGTAGACAAGAAGTTTATTCACTTAAAATATGATCTCAGTGCAACCCGTGCCTATAGTATAAATGGTAAACTCACAACGATCAAAATTAAAACTTTACAATGTGCGATACATGTGGTGTTACTTCATTAAGGTAAATGTCATATGTCTCCCAAGAGTCCCTCCTGTCTTTTTCTTTTATTTCTTAAAATACAGCAGTCAAAATTACCAAAGGAATGAAAAGAAAATCCCACTAATAAATATAACTTTATTTATATTTCCCTAAAGACTCTTAGGCTTCTAAGTAATTGTTTTTTCTGTAGCATCTGGGCTGACTTGTGGGCTACCTAAAAACAAGACAAAATTGTCACATGACCAAATGAAATTTGACAGCTTCCAAAGGTGAGGGACAAAATTCAAAGATAGGACAATTTCTTTTACACCATTTGGATTTTTCAGCCTTTTGAATATTCACCCATATCCTGTTCAAATTCATATATTTCCCTTTGCTTACCTACACTGTCAGGGCAATTGTTACGTTTATTAACAATAGTTTACTGCTACATAGCAAAAACACTTTATAGCATTCAATTATAAAGGTAAGTATCAAAAATATGTAGGAAAAAGAGTTATGCGTTGCAGTGGTAAATGTATTCACACTCCCTATGAAATCTTCATTTTTAGAAAAATATATTATTGCATATGAAACCACAAATAAGCATTCTGATTCCAGCACATTCTCACTCAAAACAGTATATACAGTCCTGTGGGAATCTGAGCATACTATAGATCCACACGGGGTTTTTGTGTTGAAAGTCCCAGACGTACAGCAGTATATATACACTTCTATATCACATCTCTTGACAGAGGTTTGCCTGCTTTCTTAGCAGGTGAAGGAGCTCTCATGCCAGTGAAGGAGAACCAGGGCACACAGATGAAGACTTTTCATCCTACGCTGCTTCCTCAGCTGAGCAGTCAATTCCTGCGTAGGTAAACTTCTCATATAGCGTGGTGTTCACGTAGGTCTGGAAGAGCAAGAGTGGTTCAGATACAGGATACCTTGATTCTGTCTCTGCCCTAAGTAGTTATGGCAATACATTGGTCTTCTTAGCTTGTTTCAACTTGTGTACTAGGTGCCTGGGGACACTTTCCTGTCCTTGAGCCTTCTATTGTATTTGACTACATTTTCCAGCAAGGCGTCCTTTGGCCTCTGCAGTAAGATTTCATGCTCTCCCTCTCCTTAGTCTCCGAGCTTCTCTTTCCCATAGTCTCGCATTCGTGCCTCCTAAAGTGGTCAGAGTCTCCAGGGCTCTTTCCTCTGCTGACACCTCATCTTCAAATATCACTGTGCCCACTTGTGTTTTGATGATAAAAATTTATTTCTTTAGTCTAGATTTGACCCCAGATTGGAACAGACAACTAAGTTCTAGAATGATTATAGAATTCTTGACCCCCTCCCAAGGAAGCTATGGCCCAGGCACTTTTGTCAGTTTACTGTGTGGCTTTGGGCCAGTTGCTTTTGCCTTGCTAAGTCTGTTCCTTCATCTGCAGTATCTAAGGGTCAGACTGTATGACTACGAGTCCTTCCAGCTCCAATAGGCTTAGCTTAGGTGTTGCTCTAGTGTGTGTGAGACTATAGCTTGCACAGTATCTCTAAAAACTGCAGCTTCCTCAGTGTTGGGAGTTGCACCATTTATGTGCCTGTAATCTCTAAGGCTATGTCCAGAAGAACTGGCTGGATTGTATCAGTAATTTTTTATTAACCACCCTGTGTAATCAGGACTTCCAATTTAAGAGCTACTGCTTCCAACTATACACTCACCTTTCGTTCTTCTAACATCCTGCTTAAAGACACCAATATCTGAGCAAATGATGGCCGCTCGTAAGGCTTCTCCCGCCAGCACTGTCTCATGAGATCATACCTTTGAAAACAAAGAGTTGAAGAGTTAACACTACAGGTGTTCTTCCGTCTTGGGTGTGTTTTAGTGGGGAACAGGGAAAAAAAAAAAAGAGAAGGAAAATTAGCTGCCAACACACGGTCACGAAGCTCAGCCAGCAGAAGAAGGAAGGGCAGCACCTAAGGTGTTTCCATGAGGCCTCTCGCCTTTCTATCCAGGTCCCCTTTCTTCTCCAAAAGAAACAATTGCTGACCATGGACACCATCTTTGCAGGGTCTCGGGTTTAGCTATTCGGGTCATCCACAGTGAGCAGTTACACACTGCTGCAGCACTTCTCTTGGAAAAGTGCATCTTTCGGAATGACAGCATCTCTTGTAAAATGCCCCTGTTTAGAGGCAGGACTCTCAGAAGGTCCTGTCATTAAAAACAAGCAAAAGGCCTGCATAACCAGAAGCAGCGGTCTGCATACGAAACAGCACTCTGAGACTGAGGAAACAGCTGAGACTCCAGACACAAATTTACCAGCACCTTGACTTTGGATTTTCCAGCATTCAGATCTCTGAGAAATACATTTTGCTTTCTCAACCACTCAGTTTTTGGTATTTCATTAAACCAGCCTGAAACAACACCAGGTTTATCATGAATTCTTTTCAGCTTGACTGACCATAGAACGTCTTTCTCCTTGTATCATTTAACATAGTTTGGGAAACACAGATCTCTGTGTTTCTCAACTGTGGTCAGAACCCCTTCTGTTACTACAGTGCAGGTACTGGGGCCTGCCTTAGACTTAGAGTCAGGAAGTCTGGGAGTGGGCTTAGGACCCCACAAACTGAAAAGTGCCTCGAGGGAGTCTTGTGTACATAAAGGATGACCCACATCCACGTCTCTTGTCCCAGTGATACCATTAATAGCATGCTTCCTCTCTTTCAAGTTGTGCAGTCTGGACAATAAATTATTCACTCAATCTACAGCCTCACCCTTGTCAAATCATGCCAGTGAAGCAGCTTCCACCATGGTGAGTTCTGGAAGGGCAGCATCAGAAAAACTAATCGCTGTCAGAATAATGCTTACTCCCAAGAAATAATTTCAGCAGAAGTAAGACTCTATGAACAAAAATCCATCTTCCTTAACGGAACAGTTCTCAGATCTTTCTCCCCAACATTAAACATTAAATCTGTTCATGAACAATTTCATGAATTTATTTCAGATATTTTTTGTATTTGTTGTCATTCCTTATTATAACCTTGTGAAGAGTCATACATTAAATTCCTCCTAGATTTCTATGTCTGGAAAGCTACTAGTCCTTGTCAGTTACATTGTGGTTTTAATATAAGGAGCCCTCTCCAATATTTGCTGCAGCTACCTGGGATCTCAGTGTGGATATTTATTATATGTATCAGATGACTTCATTAGAATCAGCTTGTCCAGAAAATGCATAAGAGGAAAGTTAAAATAAAATGATCCTCCAGATGAGGCCTGACTTACACTTCATCATCACAGTTCAAGGGTTTCTCTAGCCTGTAGCCCTGGGGCAGCTTCTCGTAGAGTTCTGCACATGTCATCCCGCAGTAGGGGGTGCCACCTGAAAGACAGGAAGTGATGCATGTCTGAGCCCCACGGGTATAAGGCAGAGCCTCCTGCCTCCAAACTCCAGAGCTAAGAAGTGAGGAGCGAGGCGCTGGGGATTTAGCTCAGAGGCAAAAAGCGCCTGCCTGGCAAGAGCAAGGTCGTGAGTTCGGTTCCTGGTACCAGAGAAAAACCAAAAAAAAAAAAAGAAGTGAGGAGCGAGACAGGGTATCAAGGGAGGAAGGGCACTGAGTGTGCCTCCCATCACAAATGCACGCTGGACTCATTGTAGACTGGGAAAAAGTGTGGTCATTCCTCCAGAGGAAAAGCCACCGCAGGCCTAATTGCTGACAGTGCCACTTCTCTTCCCTATGTTAGCCTACAGGCAGCTCACCTGCTGTACCATGCGATTCTTCTTTTTTCTAGTTGAAAATCTAATTATGTTATGCAACTCCTATTTTATTAATAATATAATTTTATTTTAATTGCTATTGTGAAATTATAAGGGCAATACATATTTACAGTATAAATCTGGGAATATAAAAACTAAATGAAGTGAAAAACACAATAGCTTTGTAATGTCTTACAGTTTATTATACGTAGAATGTTCACTGTTTGGACTCATTGTAGACCTTCACATGCTTTTAAATGGTCTTCAAAAACATGTGATCTTTCCTAGGCGTGGTGGTGCATGCCTGTAATCCCAGCACTCGGGAGGCTGAGGCAAGAGATCCCATGTTCTAGTCCTGCCTGGGCTACTTAGCAAGACTTTGCCTTAAAATAAAAAATATAAATTATGGCTGGTGATGTAGCTCAGTGCCCAGGCCCTGGGTTTAATCCCCAGTACCACCACCATTATATATGTATATAATTCCATCTAAAGTTATAAAAGTAAACTTGATAAATCCCTATAAATTTTTTCACAAGCAGAAACAACCTATTATGAAGTTCATGGCCACCAGGTCATTAGTGCTAAACACGCCATTAAGTATATAGCTTTAAAAAAGAGAAATGTTAAAATAAAGACACTCACATGTGGAAACCTGTAAGTTTATTTCTAAGTCACACCTGGGAGACCACACGCAAATGGGCCCTGTGGAGTTACACTAGGAGAGAGTGCTGAAGGGTGTGCTCCCTTTGCTCAGATCTCACCTGGCAGGCAAGCAGAGATACTCACCTAAGCTGACAATCTCCCACAGCAGCACACCATAGGACCACCTGCAGGAGGAACAGGTGCAAAACCATGAATCAGCAAAGACTGCACACTCAGGTTCCTTCCCCAAGAGCCAGGTAGCTGAGCCTCTCTCAGAAAGGAAATGTCAAACATCTGCTGTCTGGATCAGGGCTCTGCACACAGCCGCGCTCCTCTCCTCTCAGGCTGACAGAGGGATGGTGGAGGAAAGCGGGGCTCACTTCGCTGAAGCCCTTACCTCACTGTGAGGACAGAATACTGGGTGGAATGCTGGGAAGCACATGAATTCTAAGCCAGACAGACTTGAGTTAAATCCTGTCTGCATCATTAATACTACCTGTGTGGCCTGGGATGAGCTACTGAACATCCTTGGACCTTATTGTGTGTTCTGAAAGTGGGGACACCAATCTCTGCTTGCAGGTTACACAAAGATGACCTACACACAAGGCCCCTTGCACAGTAATTGCTATTTCCTCACCTCCCCAGACATAAGCAGAACCTCATGAACAAATCACCACAACCTTCCGGACCTATGTTTTTCCTCCTAAGAATGAGGTGTCCAGCAAGATGGGCTAAGAATCACTCCCAACCCTTCCTGCCACTGCTGGCCTGAGATTCACTGCAGCTGCAGCAAAGATGGAGCCACTCGTGGCCTTCCTCTTGCCTCCACCAGCTGTGACTGCTCTGAGCTTTACTGGACTGCTTCCTCTGAGCTCGGTCTGGTGAATGGGGCCAAGGAAACCCCTGTGCCCTTTCCTCCTGCAGAGGTCAAGGAGTCACAAGGTGAAGGACAAGTGAAGGAGACCCAACACCTGCCAACAGTGATTGACACACGGGCCCCTGTCTGCTCTCTGGCTTCATTTATTCTATGAACTGACTTCCTCCTCAGAGGAGCAGGCTATTCCTGCTTCTCTTTAGCACCTCTGTCAAACATATTGTTCTTGAAAAAATCCCTTAGCAATAAGGAGCTTACTTACACATCACTGTTGGTTGTGTACACACTGTAATTTAGAGACTCAATTGCCATCCAGCGCACTGGGAGCCTTCCCTGGTGAGAACAAAGTGAGACGTCACTCAGGCAGGGCAGGACAGTCAAGTGCTTCTTTCTGTGCCTGAGGCCATGGCTCACATAAGGCCCACAGGGAGCCCTGCTCAGTACTCCGCAGACCTAAGGCATGATGCATGCGGGAAGCACTGCCGTGAGCATGTCCCGGCCACAGGCATCTTTCTAGACTCAAAGACATGCAAATAGACTCTATCTACCTCCTCCTGGGCAATGATACCTCCCTACAATAACATTATATGAATTTATATAAGTGAGTGTTTGAGGTTCAACATTAGGTTATTTGATTTCATTCTATTTTCTGAATGTGCAAGTCCACTGCTATTAATTTCTGTCATAGAACTGCTTTTATTATAGCCCATAAATTCTGGTGAGTTGTATGGGCATCATCATTTAATTGTAGATACTGTTTAATTTCATCTGCGACCCTTTGGTTGTACAAGAGGGTATTATTTAATTCCCATGTGTTTGTGGTGTCTTTTGCCATTGATTTTCAATTTCATTGTACTATGGTCCAGTAATATGCATGGGATAATTTCAATTGTTTTGCATTTACTTAAGCAGGTTGTATGGGCTAGTATGTGTCTATTTTGGAGAACATCCCATGTACTACTAAGAACTTATATTCTGTACTTGATCTTAGCCAAAAGGCAGAGAAGCGACAGAACTTGTATTGTGATCTTGTGGGCTAGAACACTCTACGGACATCTACTAAGTCCATTTGTTCATAGATTTGGTTCTGTTCTGATATTTCTTCATTGATTTTTTTGTCTAGTTAATCTATTCATGACAATGGGGTATTAATGTCCTCAAACTTCTAGAAAGAGAGAACAAATCAAGCACAAAGCTTGTACAAAGGAGGAAATTATAAAGATCAAAGTAGAAATTAATGCAATTGAGACTAAGAAAACAATACAAAAAATAAGTGAAGAGTTAGTTCTTTGAAAGATTGAGATTAAATAATTTCTTACAATTCATGTGGAACCAGAAGAGACCTAAAAGAGCAAAATGAATTCTGAGAAATAAAGGCAAGGCAGGGGATATCACAATCCCTGACTTGAAATTATATCACAGAGGTACTATGACAAAAACAGCATGGTACTAGCAGAAAAACAGATCTCAGCTTAAACGGAACAAAATAGAAGGGCAGAAACAACTTTAAACACACTCAGCCATCTTATTCTTGATAAAGGGCTAAACACGTTTACTGGAAGAAAGAAAGCCTTTTTAATAAATGGTGCTGGAGAAACTGGCTTTCCACATGTCAAAACCTAAAACTATACCCATGTCTATCACCATGCACTAAACTGAAATCAAAATGGATCAAAGATCTACATATTAAAACAGGAACACTAAGTCTACTGGAAGAGAGAATAGGTAGAACTCTTGAAGACATACATGTAGGTAAAGGCTTCATGAACAAAACCCCAACTACAGAAGAAACACTGCAAAAATATCAACAAGTAGACCTCATTTTATTAAAAAGTTTTTGCAGAGCAAAAGAAATCACCAAAAGAGTGAACAGATGACCCATAGAGTAGGAAAAAAATCTCATCCACTTGTTCATTAGGCAAGAGACTAATATTTAGAACATATAAAGAATTGAAAAAAAATCAGATCCCCCAAATTCAAAGACCCAATCCAAAAATGGGCATCTGAAATAAATATACACTTCTCAGAAGTACAAATGGCAAATAAATACATCAAAAAATGTTCAAAATCACTGATCATTTGAGAGATGTAAATTAAAACAACACTGAGATTACATCTCACCCCAGAAAGAGTGGCTATTATTAAGAAATCAACCAATAACGTATGCTGGCAGGGCTGTGAGGAAAAAGGAATCCTTCTCCACTGCTGGTGGGAGTAAAGACTGGTGCAACCACTGTGGAAATTAGTATAGAGATCCCTTGAAAAATTAGAACTACAGGTTCCATTTGACCCTGCTAGCCCCCTTCTTGGTATCTTCCTGAAAGAACTGAAAGCATTATACCACAGTAATATATATGCACACATGTTTATAACAGCACAGTTTGTAATAATTGACCCTTGGAAACAACCCATGGCCATCAACCAAAGAAAAGATTAGAAGATATGTTTTTTCTTAATACAGCGGAGTACTACTCATCCATAAAGAAGGATAAACTTGAGACATTTATAGCTAAATAGATGGACCTTGAGACCAGGCTCTCCAAGTGAAATAAACAGGACACACATATGTCAATACTGCATTGCCTTTTTGGTGTGAGGAAACTGAAAGTGTAAATAAGAACCAAAGTGTATAATAGATATTGCAAAATGTTCACAGAGAAAGGGGAATTGGGTGGAATGGAAAGAAAAAAATGAGAGGAAAAAGGATAAAATGAAAACAAAGCTTTGTAAACAAGGAGTGGAGGAGAGGTTGAAGAGAGGCGAGAGGGATAGGGAAAAAAGAGGAATGAAGATATATCATCTACAGGTACAAATTCCCTATAATGAACATGGTCATTATGACATCCAAACTGTACCAATAAACTTATTCTTTTAATTAGTAACAAATGCTGGCAAGGCTACAGGGAAAAAGGGAGCCCTTTTACATTGTTGGTGGGAAGGTAAATTAGTACAACCGTTATGAAAATCAGTATGGAGATTCCTCAAAGAACTAAAATAGAAATTCCATTCAACTCAGCGATCCCTCTACCAGGTATGTTCTGGAAAGATTTAAAGATCTCATGTTACAGTGATAGCTGTGTTTATAGCAGCACAATTCATAATAGCTAAATCCTGGAAGTAGCCTATATGTCCATCAACAGACGAATGGATAAAGAAAATGTGGTACTTAGATGAGGCAGGGTGCGTTCAGGGTGGTACGGCCGTAGATGTAAATGTGGTATTTAAACACAGTGCAGTACTACTCTGCCATAAAGGAGGGTAAAACTTGAGTCATTTGTAGGAAAACTGATGCTCCTTGAAACCATAATGCTACGTGAAATAAATCAGATCCACATATATGAAGCCTCCTTCACTGGTAACATGGAGGCCATATCACATTAGAACCCAGAACTTGAAAGAATGTTTACTGGGCCAGCCAGAGTCTACTAGACACAGTCAGATGTCTCAGTCAGAAAAGCTTAATTACCACGTGGCTCCTCTTACACAAAAAACCCAAAGGAAATAAATCCCAGAGCAAAATAAAAGACAGATAATGAGAGACAGGGAGATGGACCTGCTCCAGATGGGAAAGGGACCAAGAGATGGGGCCAGGAAGGGAGCTGTGGGAGAAGGGGACATAGAAAGACAAACATGCACCAGCACGAAGTGTGGGAACTGGCCCGGCAAACGCAGGGGCTCTGTCCTCACGGTGCCTCTGGTACTGCACCCTTCTCGTAGGGATCCTGTTCTTCTCCAGCCCTTTCATCCTTCATCCCTTTTCCCTCTTGCCCTTTCCTCCCCAGTCCCTTGCTGCCACTGAACCCATGACCCTGAAATAGAGTGGAGACCTGACCAGCGTGCAGCCCCTCTCCGCATTCCGCCTACGCGCTCCAAGAAACTCTCACCTGCTACAAAATGCCAAACACACACATGGTGGCCTTAGAAATCGTAGGAAATCATCCCAGTAGAGCATAGGCCATTGAGCTGGCCGCCCCCAACCTGCACCAGTCCTCCCCTTCCCTGTGTGAAACACGGCAGCACCCGAAGACAGGGACTCTGTGAAGGGGACGGGGGCTGGGAGAGCTAGACCAGGTGAGTGAAAGACAGGCCTTCCTTTTTATGAAGAAACATCTGCATTGAGTAGGTAAAGTCGGAAGGCCCAGGGAAGGAAGTGTTTCCTGTAAGTCTGTCCTCAGGAATGCCTCTCTGGCTTTAGAAAATGCTCATGTTGATAACACTTCAGAACCATGCAGACGGTTGAAGGGAATCTACTTTCAACTTTCATAAAAAAGTGGAAAAATAAATGCAAAGAACAGGAATGCTGTGAAAAGCACTAATACAAAAGAAGAAAAAGAATGTCAAGGCAATGAATTATGGGAACTTTTCTTTTTAAAAAGTTCTTGAGTATTGTTTTTACTTTATTTTGTCAGTAACTACCATATATTATAAAGGAAAGAAACCTAGATTTATGGATAAATGCAGGGCCCTGAACATTGCTCAGAGGTAATGCGGTACCCATAAAAGGAAAAAAGTTCTGTATCTCATGACAACTGGGTCACTTCCAGGAAAGCTGAGCCCAGATGCCACTCATTATACCTGGAAAAGGGAGAGTCTCCCCACTGGAAAAGACCTGCTAGACACAGGTAGAGACCAGACAACCTGTCATCTGCAAAGGACCACCTGTGCTCTGCCCACCAGTGAAGACAGAGGGTGGCATAATCACAACACAACACAAAATATAAAGGAATGACATTTCCAGAATGTGCACCAGAATCAAAGTCCAGCTTAAGACTTTGTGCTTAGGGTCTTATACTTGAAGACAAACTATTACTATTGAGGAAAGTGGCTCTCAGGGGAAAAAGTAAACTTGATTTGACCTTGAGGTGAACTTTTAATGAAAAGGAAATCCTATAATGGGCTTTTAGAAGTTATAAATTTCTCTATATAACCTCCGTGTGGTTTAGAAAATCATGAATGTATTTCCCTGATTTGGGGGTAATTATTTAAAATTTTCTTCCCTGCTGTTTGCTGTTAATGAAAGGGTGTTCTGGGACCACCCCAGAAATTTCTGAGTGTGACACATGAGTCCCAGACCAGATAGAGACCAGACATGCTGGACCACTAGGTTCGAGTCAATGGCCATATGTATGAAGCCTCCTTCACTGGTAACGTGGAGGCACTACCACCTTAGAAGCCAAAACTTGAAAGAATGTTTCCTGGGCCGGCCGGAGTCTACTAGACACAGCCAGATGCCTCAGTCACCAAGAACGCTGGCATTCCTAGGAAAGTGCTCCCAGGAGGGGCAGGGTCCCTTGCAAACTACATCGTCAGCGTCAATCTTCACAACTCACCATTGTCTTTTTCACATACACTTCTTGACCTCGGGACAATCCAAAATCTGCTATCTTGGCTAGATAGTTCTCCCCAACTAAAATGTTCCTGGCAGCCAGGTCCCTGTGGATAAACTGAAATTTTAAAACAATAATGTATTTTCAGCATAATATTTGCATTTTTACTTAATTTTGCTAGCACAAAACCCTGACAGCAAGAAATGGAGGAGAGAAAATAGTGTGAAACAGGAATTTAAAAGGTCACTAGAGTCCAGGTACCTCTCCAAACCTGCAGATCCTGCCAAATGACCCCAGCATATCTTAGGAAACATGTTTCAGAGAGGGGGAAAACCCGGAAAAGGGCATGCCGTTAAATCTTCCAGTTGCCAGGCAGTGCCTCTGTCACTACGTATTACTTGCAGGCAAAGGAAGCCAAGACAGATGAGGTGCCTCACCAAACAGAGCACATTTGCTAGATAAATATGCTGCAGCATCGGGCTTTTAGTTCTACATAAATGGATGGAATATTAACAAGCAAATTAAAATGGGGGAGAGTATCAGAAGAGACTAGACAGGTTCATGCAAAGACTGTGCACACATGTGAAAGCTCAGACTCTGGAAGACTGCAGATGAAAGATGTGCAGAGCAAGGTCCTCAGAACAGACCTGTTTTTGGCTCAGATAGTCCATCCCCCGGGCTACATCTGCAGCAAACTGAAGAAGCTGCTGGGAAGACAGCGTGGACGCAGTGCTGTTGGCAATGGCAAATGCAGGATCGGTCTCCAGCACGCGGCTCTTGCGCAGGAAGTCCAGGAGGTTCCCGTGGGGCGCATACTCGATGGCCAGGTACAAGTAGCCTGCGGGGAAAGGCCAGAGCATCACCTTACCAGCAGCTACTGCCAGACGTGCTGCGGTCCTTGGGAATGGCTTACAAACGCCATTCTATCTCAAAGAAACACATCCAGTGGTCCAACCTAGTCATTCTGGGGATAGACAGGAAGTAAGTGACATCCTTTTGCAGTACTCCATGAGGCTTAGGCTTGAACTCACGGCTTCTCCCTGTCCCACTTCCTGTCCTGTTCCTACCATGTGTGGACTGACAGGACCTTCCCAAAATGTTTCTACCCACTAGATAATACTAGCAGAATGGACTCAAAGCATCCTCTTCCACATCTAAGCCAGCTTCTTTATGTTCCCTTAAAATTTCTATTCAGTGTTCATCAAAACCTAATATGGGCCAGGCACGTTATTCTAGTTTGTCTCTACCTTTTCTTTCTTTTTAAAAAAATTTTATTTTAAAGGAGTAGTAAATGAGAAAAAAAAAGAACAGTAGTAGCATACCAGCATCACAAACATAAACAAACCAAAGCAAGAACATTTAAAGTGATACAGGGTCTCAAGACAAAACAATACAAATTAACAGTGCTTGTTATATTACATATTGTTATCATCAACTACATTGCTCAGATTACCAGATGTAAGAATGGAAGATTGCTCAAACCATTAAAGAGAATAAGAAAATAATTATTAGATAAAACATTAGAGATAATACAGTTTCACTAGCCAAGATGGTAGGAATTCACAGTGGTAGTTTCATCGCATATTGTTACCTTCAAATCAGTTGCTCATATTACCAGATATAAGCATGCAAAATTGGTCAGAACATAAAAAATTTTAAGCATTAACTGTTCCTTTCAATACACCATCAGACATCAGCCATACAGTTATCACAGCTATTCATATATATATATTTATGTTTTGCCTTCCTTTGTTCTTTTTTCTTCTCTCTCTCATCCCAGTTGTTCCTTCCTTTGAGCAATTTCTTTCCCTTTCCTATCATCTATTGTATGTTTCAAGTTTTACTTATTCTTTCAGGTTCCTACACCAGAGAGACAATATGACTCTACCTTTTCTTGAGATTATTTAAAAAAACAATATACACATGGTGGAAGGACCCACAACAGAAAACGTTCCCTTCTGCCTTCCACTCTCCATATAGCCAAGCAGCCCCTGGCCGGCAGAGTGTAGCTTCAGAAATTGCATTTTTGCTTAAAGAAACCAGAAAACTCAATCTTTTAAGAAAAACGTGAGTTTCTAGAAAAAGTAATGGTATATTGTCTTGTTTTTATTCTGTATTGTTTTCTCTTTTTATAATGACTTTAAAACATTAATATTTAGGGTTGGGGATATCGCTCAGTGGCAGAGCGCCTGCCTGGCAAGCACGAGGTCATGAGTTCGATTCCCAGTACTGGAAAAAAAAAATCAAAAACATTAATATTTAGAGTCCCTGAAAATCAAAGTGATTTTGCTGTTTTTAAAGGAGAAATCTTTTGGTAAGCCATCATTTTAAAATTTTGAATGAATCTGAACTTCAAAGATAATTTTAAAAAATGAAATTCTGGCAAAAACAAAATCTAGCATTGAATTCTGTGGTATAATAAGGAAAGATACCCAAAATCCTGGTATGAGTGCACCACTCATACTTTACCGCATTATAAATTCCAAAGTCCAACTACGTGCTAACATGACAGAGAAAAACTTTTAGATACATATTTTTCTTTTGGTAGATTTTTTGCTTAACCTCCATAACCTGCATTCACCCTGTCCCACGCTAGTTTTCTGTTTTCAGGAAATCGCTCAAAAATAAATATTATTACATCATTATTTAATCTAATGGACATAATCAGCTTTCAGAATTACACTCTTATTGGATCACAGAATGATATATTGTTCAAAGCACCCATATTTTTAGTTTAATAAATTGAGGAAATGGAAGTAGTCTCTTTTCTATTGTTAGTGTTCTGCTATAAAGTCAACAACAGATTGTCAAATTTATAAATTACCGCAGGAGCTTTTTTACGAGAGCAAACTTTTCCATGAGAAATTAAGTGTAAGTATAGATTCAGAGCTATGAACACTTCCTATGCAAAGGTAAACCCAGAAAACACTTCACTGTGATGTATCCATTCATGCTCATTGCCCGGATTACAATAATTTGCATTCATAAGTTCAAAAGCACGTGTAACATAGGTAGTTGTAAGTTCTAATCTAATTGTATGTGAAAGCACCTTGAATAAAAGCAAAGAACCCTCCTGTGTAAGTTTATTATTTCATTAATCTAAACATCACCAATGCTTTCACACTACAGTGTATTCTGGGCTTTCATCAGACTAACATTCAGAATATCAATTCCTTGGCTTTTGAGTTACAGTGAAAAGTGACAAGAAGAGCCATTTCTTTCCATGCTTTCTGCTGGTAAGGGCTCCACACTCCCTCCTGGCAGAAAACCTCTAGGTTGGTGAGAGCAGGGACTGGTAGTAACTTGTATACTTTGAGTGGTAACACACAGCTAAACCACAGCAGAGGCCAAATGATCCAGCTTTGACACACGCCTCCCAGAGAGAGCAAGCCTTATCACAATCCATAAACAGGACTAGATAGACGTTCTGCAAATTTAAAAATTAGGTGATATTCTTAAGACTATCTTTCCTAGTTTCAGTATGAAATTGTGCGTGTTTGAAAAAGAAGTCTGGCAGGAAAAATAAGAACAGAACATCTTACCTCGATGTTCACAGGCTCCCAAGAGATTGATGATGTTTGGATGATTTCCAAGTTTACAGAGAACCTCCAGTTCTCCTGCAAAATCCCTGTGGTCATCTTTGGAGGCATACTCTGGGAAGGAAATGAAGGGTTAGGACTTCTCTTCATTATGCTCTTCCAAACCACTGTGCCCTTTTGCTTCCTGGCCCACCAGGTGCGCTCAGTCACCACAGGTCTGGAAAACTATTCCAAAGAGATTGCTCCAACCCACAGCTTCTCCGCCTCAGCATTACTGACTTTGGAAGGTAACTTCTTGTTGCTTAGGGCTATCCTAGGCCTGTAGAATTTGCATCTCTGCCCTCTACCTACTAGATACCAGTAGCCCAACCAAAAATGTAGCCAGACACTGCAAACGCTTCTCCAGGGGGCAAAATCCCATAAGGTTGAGATCCACTACTCTAAAATTTTCTAGTTTAATTCTCAAATACATCATGAAATGACTTGGTAAAGGGGGAGATACCCCAATCTTTAGATTCTGATTCTTCTAGCTAAACCTTCTATCCAAAAATAGCTGAGGATTAGAACCAAACTTCTGGTGGAACATCTATCAATAACACATGCACTTTATTTCATAATAGTAGCTGACTTTCTATCAAAGCAGTCCTGCTAAATAAATCAAATCCCAATGATACTTTACAAAAGTTGTATTGTAGTGAGAACACTGCATTTTCCCCTTTTCTATTCTTTTTGCTGTGTCTCTTCACAGCACTTGAGCAAAGGGAGAACCACCGGGCACCAGGCTATCAGTTGACGCACACATTGACTCACATGTGCTAAAATTGTTTGGGGAAAAATAACATTTTGGGGGAACAAAGGATGGGAGCAGGGTGCTGGTGGGTGTGTGCATGCTTGAACACGCTTGGAGACTGTGGTACCATCTCAGGTGGGCTAAGGGTATTATAAGACTGCCTGAAATTCCAAGTCAAGTGTCCAGTTCAAGCACATGCCTTAGGAACATTTTAAAATAAGGTGCTTTATAATGAGGTTGTGCCCTTACTTAAGTAACTGTCCTTGAATATATCATTCTGCCTGCAAAATCTGATAATCTGAGCAACTTCACTGAAGATAACAATATGTACTGCAACAACTATTGTTAATTCCTCTCATCTTGTTTTGATATTCTATATTGTTTTTGTATTGTTTTGGTTTTTTGTCTTCACTATTGTTATTTTGTTATTACTTTCTTTTACTCTTTTAAAAAAATCTTCTGCCCTAGTTAAGCTATTTTACTTCATTACATGAAGAGGTAGAAAATCAGGGTCCTGTCAGATCCCAGTAAAAACTGACTTCATAGGATGCTGCACTCTGACCTCGCTATTTTCAGTACTCCGCCAAACTCCCTGTGATAAACGCAGCGGAACAGAAAAGGGATTTGCAGCCTCTAAACAAGGCTTTTGCATGTATTTTTTAGAAAACATATGACTAACTCTAAGCATACATAATGTATTTTGTTTCCCGATGTGATCTTTCCAACAATGCTGAAAACAAAGGTGATTTATAAAGATTTAGATTAGTTCTCCTCTTAGGCTCATCCCGCAGTGACCTCAGAGAGCCCTAGGGATGCAGCCACATAATCACAGGAGTGAACCCCATTCTCTATTCAAATGCACTGCTTTTCAAGCACGCTGGCTATGAAATCAGAGGCAGCTTCACAGTCAAGTCATGCATAAACTGCTGTTTCACACAGGAGACTGTTACACTGCCGATAAACTCATCTTTGTCCTTTCTCAGATGTTTCTTTTCCAATCTTATACAACAGGGAGGTACTGAGCGGCCCTGAGGTGAACACGGCTGAAAAGGTCATCAGCTTGGTGGTTTGCAAACTGGACCAAACGGAACTATTGAGAAGACCTGTCACAGCAGATTCTCACGCGCCACCCACAAATCAGAGTACAGTAGAACTGAGGCTGGGAGAAGGCCAGCTGGATGCACTTCTGACAGTGTCCCCAGGAATTTTGATGCAGATGATCCATGAAGAATGGGGTTCCAAACACATGGGACCAGCATCCCTGGGGAATGAATAAGAGACGAGAATTCTCTGTCCCACCCCAGATTTCCTCATCCTTCAGAGTCTGCGGGGTGGGACCCAACAATCTGTTTTTAAACAAGCCTTCCGGGTGATTCTGATGCACACTGAATTTTGAAAACCCCTACTTTAAATGCTCCCTGCAAGTGAGCGGTATATGACAAGAATCAATATTTCAAAGTCCTCAGGAATTGAGAAACTGGTGTTTCTGTGGCTCCTGCCTTCTTATCCCCATCCCGCTGCTCCCACAGGCTTGACCTCAGAGGAAGCACCAGCTTTAGCTCCGCACAGCAGCTCCGTCTGACACCAGGCCAACTTTTGGTTTAAAGAATGTCAGGCCGTGAGAGGAGGTTTCAGCAGGAAGTCAGTCTTCTCCCTGCCCTAGTGAAATGCTGACTCTGTCTGTCTGACCACTGACCTTTCATTCTCTTGATGGCAGCATCCATCCGCAGCCCGTCCTTCTTGATGCGGGCCTTAAGAACCTGGCCAAAGTTGCCCTCCCCGATCACATCTTGAAACTTGATGTCATTCCAGTCAAGCACTGGATAAATTGTGGGATCCGGGTTGTTTTTGGCCTTCCTGTTCAAGGCCACAGTTCCTGAGTTGAACTGCACAGCTGGTTCTTCCCTCTGGGAAAATAATTTTTTTCATCATTTTTGTGTCAGGATTTGTTGTCATTCTAAGGTGACAACACCTTCTTGTTTGTACCCATACAAGGCCAAAAAAGAAAAAGAAAAAGAGTTAGGATATCTAATTCTGGAATGGAAATGGAAATAGGTTTCATCGCACACAGCCGTGCTTCTGATGAGCCTGCAGCCTGCAGAACCACACGGGCATAAACCTGGGCTTGGTCGGGAACGATGTCAACTGTCCACGCTGCAAACGCGGAGCAGGGTGGCAGTGACCATGTGTGCCGCGTGCTCGCCATTCCCAACTTAGTCACACTTGATTTGTCTGTCACTGTGCTCAGTGACGAGCAGGTGCTCAGGTCTGATTTGGAAAGTAACGCAGAGCTCATAAAGGGAGCAGTCCCTGGACGGGTCTCAGTGAGAGCCTCGCTGGCCTCATCTTGCTCCCGGCCTGTTCGTGTTCTCTCACTCGCTCTCACACCTTCGCACCCTAAAGTTCAGAGTCTCCTAAGCCCTTTCTGGCTCAGGGATGACTGACTTAGCAAAACCCTGCAGCACATCCCTTGTTCTCCTGAATTCAAACACCTCGTGACGGTGTCCTGACAAAGCACTAAAGCATGACAAGCTCCAGAACTCCCAGCCCCCTTGTTGCCCCTTCCTCTCCAAGGACAGCCCCAGTTGAGCCAGCTCGGGCATGGAGTCAGACTAGGGAGGCCCCTTGTCCTGCATGAAAGGGAACCTTGGAGATTCAGACACATGAAGTGTACCTCATCTGAAGCATGTCATTGCCCTCAGTGTTATCTATACAGTGTTGATAAAATCAGACACAAAGTAATTTTTAAAATCTTGAAACCAAAGGGTGGCTCTTAAATAAAGTGTGTTCTTTGCTACTGGTCAAAAATCCTAGGCGAAGAGTACGGCAGTGCCACCAGCTCTCACGGCAGCGTGAGGATTCACAGGAACGGAAGAGGCACACAGTGTGTATGATGTCCACGTACGCGTTAGGGTGATGGGACCGAGGGAGACATGGACATAGGGGATGAATGGAAAAGGCATTGTGGCTCAGACTGAGGTTTGGTCACCCTCCTGTCCTCCCTTACCGAATGCTCAATTCATCCTATAGCAAGATTGTTTCCTCAGCTGACTTTTCACTAAGATGACTGTGCATCTCGTTTTAGGGAGGAGGAGAGGGCAGTCCTGTTTGAGGCCTAATTTCCTGCATAATTATTAAGCTCACTCTAAAAATTGTTTGTTTGGATAATAAATTACATAGTCATTCTGTTCCTCTCCCATGTGATGGAGGAAAGAAAAAATGAGACTTGCCTACAGGAATTCTCGGCTCTGCAAGTGAATTTCCTAGTCTATACCTGAAAAGTGAAGGCTCTGCCTGTGGGCAGACTTGCGCGTATTAGCGAGTGAGAAGATGAGGCACTACCACGTTCTGGAAGGCTTGGGCCATTCTCCTCTGGACGCTCGCCCTCTTCAGCTGCAACACGATCAGAAAAGCCAACAGCACCGTCAAGCAGGTCATCCCAGCAGAGCCAAGTATAGCTATCAGCAGCATCTTCCCACTTCCAAGGTTTGCTGAGACTGGGCAGGGGGACAGGGGGGAAGCAGGTGGGTTAGTTTAGGTAGACAGATGGGCCGAGGCCGTCTCTGAGAGAAGACACAGTGTGACGGGAATGGAACAGCAGTCCTAGCACTTCGTGAGCTTGGGCCACTCGTTCATTCCTCAGACTCAGTGAGAGGAGTCTGCATTGCAGTTGTTTTTTTTTTTTAATGTGTGGATGTACTTTTAAATGTGCTGTTCATTTGTAGCTGTAATTTGTTCAACTGTTAATGCCAAGCAGGGTCCCAAGTAGATGAATATTATTAAATAATACTGAAAATAACAACTTTGAGTGAGTGACTAAACCACTTTATATCTCAGTGTCCTCAGAATTGCCTTAAATGTTGTATTATCCTAAAATCTCAGAATCTGTAAGAGATTTTTTTTCTCTAATTTTCTTTATTTTGAGGAGCTGATGTAGAAAACTTGATGATGGCCAAGGGAGGTAAGATGAGAAAAAAGGGAAAAAAACCATTACATTTAGGGGTTAGGTCAAAATAAACTATTTAAGACTATGGTGTAACTCTTCCACTTCTTTCACTTAAATTCAGATGAGAGTAAACTCAATATATTTTTATGAATAACAGCACATAGAAAATAAGTCTGGGCTGGGGATTTAGCTCAGTGGCAAAGCGCCTGCCTGGCAAGCGCAAGGTCATGAGTTCAGTTCCTGGTACCGGAGAAAAACCAAAAAAAGAAAATAAGTCTACTTCTTAAAAGTATTCTGCACTAATCTTTCCTTCTATCTCTGTGTAGTGTGCATACACAGATGTCTAGAAGGACAAGAGGTCTTTGTTTTATTGTATCCTGTATTTCAATTTTTCCTCTTTGTATTTTATGTATTGCATAGATTTAGTATAAATATGCACTTTACAAAAAACCAGTAATTATAAAAATGAGGCACTTAATAAGCATAATCTGAAAACTATGGCACTCTGTATGTAATTGGCTGACAAATCATTCTTCAGATATTTCAAATAATGTCTCAGAATCAGCAAGGAACACAAGGCTTCTTTTACTTTATTTCTTAAGCCTTAGATTATCTACAAGAAAACCAAGAAGCTTTGCACACTACCGGATTTCCTGTGAAAGTAGACTCGAGTCAAATAATAAACTTGCAAAACCTGTCTTTCCACAAATGTCCCCCTAACATTCCCTTGCACCCACTACACATTACAGAGCTACAGCAGTGTCATTTTCATAGACCTGAAGTTGGCTCTAAGTCTGCAGCCCACCTCCACTGTGGCCCAATTCACGAATTACATTCAACGGGTTTTATGAGTCACAAACTTTGGGCATAGTGTGCTCGGCTCTCTGGGAGGATTTCTATCTATCTCAGAGAGCTTGCCCTCTCTGAAGTGGGGTTAGAGGTAGACACAGAGACCTAATAAGCTGGATCAGAAAAGTGGAATAGAACTCAGAATAGCGTAGTGTCATCCAAGTCAAAAGAAGAGTTCATCTTAAAAGAGGATAGAGTATAGTTCTTGGAGCCTCCCATCAAAGCCTCCACATCAGCTTTCTTCCTCTAGAAGCAAGTTCCCATTCTTCTTTCTCTGCAGAATTAAAATTCATACACCACAAAATTTTTATACATTATTGGATGGAGTGTGCTGTTAGGCTACTTTATTCTAAGGTTTAATAATAGAAAATGGAACAACAAGCATGCTACCCAGGGGTACTTTGATTTTAAGGACCTATATAGAGAAGGTAAAGCCTATTAGGAACAATGAATTATATCACATGATACATATACGGAGTAAATATTTACAATAGTGGTGCTTTTTTGATACTGTCCAAAAATAATCTAATATAAGTACCTGCCCACTCTACCAACCTGGAGACTCTGGGAGGGTCATCAACTCATGAGAAAAGGTTGGGTCGCTTGACCCTATATTGTTCTCAGCAAAAATGTCCACGTGATAAACTGTTTCAGGCTCTAGGCCCTTGAGCTGATACTGAGTGATGGTAGCATTCTTGATCTTCACATCGATGTGCTGGTCTTCATCCTTGCCCTGAACCTTGTAACGGATGATAATGGAAGAAATAGAATAGCCATCTACTATTGTCCAAGAAATCACAGCTGAAGAGTCTGTGATGTTGGAGATCTTGATGTTCTCTGGTTGAGGAGGGAGAACTACAAATTTAAAAAAGAATTCACATAAGATATACTACTGACTCTTCAATTATTACGCTTTTAAGAAAGGGTTCATGTCATGTCATTGTTATGACTTATATCTAGATGTCCCCACAAAGTCTAAGCGCTCATAGCTGGCACTTTTGGGAGGTGACTGATCATGGGGGTGATACTGTGTTAGTCCACTGGTGGGCCCATAACCAGGTATGATGCTGGGCAGCGAAGTTGATGAGAAGTAGGTCACCAAGGGCATGACATGGAATGGCATATATTCCTCCTATCTTCACGGCTGCTGTTTCCTGCCTGCATGCCTTGAGTTCTTTCTCCTCTGCCATGCCACCTGCCTTGCAGCCAGATGACTATGGACTGAAACCTCTGCAAATGTGACCTAAAATAACCCTTTCCTCCTTAATTGTGCACATCTGATATTCCACCCCAGCAACAAGAACATAACGAGACCATTATATACTGTGAATGACAGAGAGATGTTAATCTTGTGATATGATGGCATGATTCTGATAGTGTATAATTCTAATGAGGGTAAAATTTATACAGAATAGTAAATGAACAAAAGATAATTTTGAAATCACCCTACAGTTATCAAGACATCTCACAAATAAATTATTAATTTACGCAGCCTGGAAAGGACAGAAGAACATGTACAAATCATAGGAAGAGAACAGACAGCTAAGAAATAGGTTTAAAATGAATATGAGAACTAGGCATGTGTCATCAGTGGGACTATTTAATACATGGCAGTGTTCTCACTGTCTTGCTATATGTGAATAAATAAGCTTAGAACAATACTAAAATACATGCCCAACTAGCATTCCTAGGATCTAAGAAAGGACAATATACAAACAAACCCCATCCAACCCACTAAAAAAAAAGTACAGAGAACATTCTGATGACTCCATAGGGAATAATTCTAAAATACAAAAACTACAATTGTAAAGGCAAATACTGATAGGTCTGAGTGCACCTAAATGTGGTGTCTATGAGTAGATGACATCATAAACAAAGCTAAAATAAAGGGCTTAGGAAAAAATATATATACAATGAACACAACAAGATTAGTACCCAGATTATATGTGCCTTTTTCAATCAGTAAAAAACACAACCTATAATAGGTGAGCAAATTATATCCAGTATATCAAAAGAAAACAAAAATGATATGTAAATATGAGAAAACCTGCTCATCCTTGCTAGTTACCAAGGAAATAAAATGAGGTGAAATGAATGAAATATCACTTTCTGCTTTTAAGACTCAAAGCTAAAAAAGAGTAGGCCATAACAAGAGGTGTAAACATGGGGAAGGGCTCAGATACAAGGACGAGCACAGGGGTGTGGTGCACGCATACTCCTGACACAGGGCATCCCAGCAGTCGCTTTAGAGGAGCACTGGGGCCGGGGATACAGCTCAGTGGCACAGCGCCTGTCTGGCAAGGGTGAGGCCGTGAGTTCAAGTCCTGGGACCAAATAATAAATAAATAAATACAGGAGCACTGCCCAGGATTTCACTTCTGAACATGTTCCCCAGAAAAGCTCTCACACCAAAGCACATGGGGACATGTATAAGGACAGTCACTGCAGTTTTGTGATTGTAAAATGTGAAAGTGACTTAAACGTACATCTCAAAAAGAACGTACAGCCAAGTGTGGTGGTACACACCTGTAATCTCTGCACTTAGGAGGCTGAGACAGAAGGATACAACTTGGGGCTCCATGGCATTTAAGGCCAGCCTAGACTACAAAGTAAGACCCTGGCTCTAAAAGGAAAGGGGGTCTAGATAACATGGGTTATTCATAGGATAGAAACTATACAGAAGTCTAAAAGGCACACATCAGATCTAAGTAAGTTCACACAGAGATCATGCTTTTTCAGAGAAGGGTGAAGAATGGCTTGTGCGCATAGTTTCTGAGTATAATTATGCATCCATATACTGGAGAGTTACATAATAAACATACTTTGGGTGGACTCTAAGGAGAAGGAAATAGGAATGGAGTAGAAGTGGCAGTCAAAGGGGGTTTTCATATAACTGTTATTTCTTCTACTAGGCAAAAAATGCTGAAAGGAAGTGTGACAAAGAATTAATAGTTGTTAATTCAGGAATGTTAAAATTTGTTGTGTTAGTCTACACTATTCTGTAACTTCTAAATTTCATAGTATGTATGATATATTCATATACATATGCATATATTATATGTTATATATGAATAATATATGGAGATTTTATATATATATATTTGTACCAGAAATCAAACTTAGGATTTGTGCTTGCCAGACAGGCTCTGTGTCACCGAGCTACATCCCCAGCCATATATATATATATATATATATATATATATATATATATATATAAAATTTCTTGCACAATCCTAAACACTGACAGAATAGTTCAGACTTTTACTAGCCACTGACACAAAAAGAGTCAGCTGGAGAACCACTGAGCCACTTCTACACCTGTCACTGAGGAAGCAGAACACTAGCTGGAGAGCCTCAATTTGAGGGTTGGCAAAGGGTCATGTGACCCTGAGTGGTAGCTGGTGTGGCCAAGAGGTACTTCACCTTTCTAAGAGCTCTGAGATGCCTGGGCGCAATTATAATTCATGAAGCAAAATAAAACTATTGAATGATGAAAAATCAGTACTACAAAAGAAGTCAAGAAGTTTTAGCTAATTTTAAGTGAACGACCTGAAATACAGAAAAACGTGAAATACAGAATATTTTAAAAGAAACATTGTTTTATTACTCTCAGATATATATTTTTCCAAGAATTGTCTGTTTTGAAGGGTTTTCAAGCAAAGTTAGTTACCTTTTAAGATTAGAAAAGATTCATCCATCATTAATTGGCATCAGTGTATATATAAATATATAATTATCCTGAAAAACTGTCCCCGAGCTGACTGAACAAGCCTGAGAAAACCCTCATTAATGATGCTAAACTACTTAATAAACAACTCCATAGCAAAGAAGGGTAAATGAGAGCACAGCCCTGCTTCAGTCATTGGCAATCCAAATGAGGTTTTCTTATATGTTACAGGGTTCTGAAATGATTGGATGGACACCAACTAGCTTTCACTCACAACTAACTTTCATGACCTCTACGAGCCAGTTCTGAAGTGACAGAAGTTTCGTCCAAGGGCGGTACTAAGACGTTGTTCAGGTGAGACCGGAGCAGCGCCAGGTACTTACTGTCACTGAGAGTCCAGGCAGTGAGGTCTTCACTCCACTCTCCCTGGGCCTTGGTGTTGACTCTAGCCCGGACGATGTACTGCTCCCTGGGGTGTAGGTTGTTCAGTAGCACCGAGGTCAAGTTCCCTGGCACTTTAATATTCTGCTGATCACTTTTGATTTGCACAGACCTCCTCTCCACTTCGACATAAAAGTCATCTTCTGAGGTTGGAGATATTGGTTGCCAGGTCAAATTTAATGTGGTCTGACTTTTTGGTAGGAGACTGAGCCCTCTGGGAGGAGGGAGTCCTAGAAGAAACCAGAAATATCATTATTTTTATATAGGACAGAAGTAATCTCAGATCCAAAGGACGGCTTGGAAGAATAACTTTAGCTTCTAGAATAGCATACAACTTCATAAGCTGTCAAAGCAGCACAAGTAGCAGCCTTATTATGGTTTTTTTTTAAAGAAGGAAACAATCTGAAAGCTTTCTTCAGGTCCCAGGAGGGGAAACTGTCTCTGCAGACTCAGGTAACTCTTAGAGCACTGGTGCTGAACCTATGGTGCAGGTGCCATAGCGGCTGTTTGTTATCATTGAAAGCGCTAAAAGGTTCCCTATCACTGCCCTAGAGTCAGGAGCCCCAGGGAGAAACAAAGGACCAGGCCTTCTGCATTAGCCCCAAACAAAGCCCATAGCTATTATAAACTGCAAAATGGCATAGGACCTTACTCCAAAGTGACTTCTTCCAAATGGTAGACAACAGCCGCAGAAGGAATCTGGTGCAGTGCCCACCATATTTCCAGACAATATTTAGTCAGGTGGCATTTTGGGATGAGTTGATTATTTAAGACTGAGATTCAGAATAACTAAAAAACAACTTTACTTCAGGGTTCCCAGTATAACTCTTAATAACAGAACTCTAATTCTAAGCACAGAAAATTTAACTCTAACCCACAGAATTTTCAAATGCATGGAAATTAAATGATAGTCTTTTGGATAATTGGTGGGTCACAGAAGGAAAAAAGGAAGAAATTAGTTCCTAGAAGTAAATGATAATGCCAGTATAATAGACCAGAACCTATGGGACACAATGAAAGCAGTCTAAGAGGGAAGTTTATTGTTGTGAATACCCACATCAGGAAAACAGATCAAGCCTAAATAAACAACCTAATGATGCCATGCAAGGTTCTAGAATAACAAGAACAATCCAAATCCAAAGCCAGTACAAGGAAGGAAATTATAAAGATCACAACAGAGATTAATGAAATTGAGACCAAAAAAACTAATACAAACAATCAACGAATCAAAGAACTGGTTCTTTAAAAGAACAAACAAAATAGACAAACCCTTAGCCAATATTAGCAAAAAAAGAAAGAAAAGATCCAAATCCATGCAATTAGAAATGAAAAAGACAAAATCACAAGGGACACTGCCAAAACTAAAGGATTACACATTGCTACTCTGACAACCTGTACTCTAATAAATAGGAAAATCAGAAGAAACGGCTAGATCCTTAGATATATATGAATTACCAAAACTGAACCTAGATTTACAAACACTGAACAATCCAAAAAGAGGCAATGAAATTGAAGAAATAGCAACAACAACAAAAACCTACTAAGAAAAGTCCAGTTCCCCCATGGCTTTACTATTGAATGCTACAAGATCTAACACCAATTCTCCTCAAACACTGTAATGAAATTGAAAGTGAGGCATAATTCCAAAGTCATTCCTGGAAGCTAGCATTATCCTGATTCCAAAACCAAAAAAGAGAACAATAGGCCAATCTATTTAATGAACATAGATGCAAAAAAATCCTCAGTAAGATACTGGCAAATAGAATGCCAAATCATCAAAGAGATCACACATCATGAGCAGGTCAACTCATATCAGGAATGCAGGGATGGTTCAATATATATAAATCAATAAACATAATACATCTCATAAACAAAAGGAAGGAATGAATCATCTCAAAATCACATGATCATCTCAATGGATGCAGAAAAATCCTTTGTCAAAATTTTATATCCAGGGGGCTGGGGATTTAGCTCAGCGGCAAAGCGTCTGCCTGGCAAGCGCAAGGTCGTGAGTTCGGTTCCCGGTACCGGAGGAAAAAAAAAAAAAAAAAAAATTTTATATCCATTCATGATAAAAACTGCAGGAAATAGGTATAGAAGGACCTTATATTAATCTGATAAAAGCCATTTATGACAAACTAATAGCTAACATCATACAAAATGGGGAGAGGCTCAAAGCCTTTTCTCAAGTCAATCACAAGGTTAGGAATTTCACTGTCACCAGTCTTGTACAATATAACTTCTGAAGCATTAGCCAGAGTAATCAGATAAGGGAAAGTAAGAAAAGAGGCATGTATGGGAAAGGAAGAAATCAAATTGCCATTATTTGCTGATTGCATGTGCCTCAGTTACTTTTCTCATTGCTTGGACAAAATACCCAATACCCACAAATTAAAGGAGGAAAGGTTTATTTCAGCTCCCAGTTGGGAGAGGTTCCAGGCCAGTCACCTGGCTCCAAGGCAGGGGTGGCATGGCAGAGGGCATCATAGTGGAGAAATAGCCCATGACAGGGCAGGCAAAAAGCAACAGCAGTGAAGCAAGCTTGCCTTATTTTTTTATCCCACCCAAGCTACAAGCCTTTCGGGTGGTACCACCCACTCCAGGGTAGACCTTCCCACTACCACACCCAGAACTTATGCTAAACCCAGTTAGTGGGTTAATTTAGTATCACACATCCTTAGTCCCAGGATCACACACCCTAGCTTTAGATAGTTCTGAAAAGTCCCACCTATCAGCACATGAGGTTTTGGATAACATCTAGATACAAGCTCTAACAACATGATACTTTACATAAAAGACCAAAAAAAATCCACTAAAAGATTCACAGAATTAATCAAAGTCAGTAGTATAGCAGGATACAAAATCAATTCACCAATGGTGAACTTACTAAGAAAGAAATTAGGAAAACAATGCCACTCACAATAGCTTGAAAAACTTTGAATATTTAGGAATTAACCTAACTAAGGTAATAAGAGGCCTCTATGATGAAAAGTACAGCAGTCTGAAAAAGAAGACTAAAGAGGACAACAGAAAATGGAGATAACCATATTTGTGGATAGGCAGAACCAATATTTTCAAAATGGCAATACTTCCAAAACTGATATTTAAATTTAACATAACTCCATCAAAACACCAATACATTCTCACAGAACTAGAGAAAACAATCCCTAAAGTCACATGGAACCAGCAGAAACTAGAATAGCAAAAACAAAAGCAAGGCAGGAACCATAACAATCCCAGACTTTAAATTACATAATAAAGCTACAACAATGTTTTAAAAGGTATGGAATTGGAAAAGAGAGACATAAGCCTTAGTGGAACAGAACAGCAGATGCAGAAACAATTCTAGACACATGTAGCTATCTGATCTTTGGAAAAGGAGAAAAAAAAAAAAAAAAAAAAAAAAAAAACCATGCTGGACAAAAGATAGCCTCTTTATCAAATAGTGCTGAGAAAATTTGCTATCTACATGCAGAAGACTGAATCTTGACTCATATCTCTTACCATGTACTAAACTAAAATCAAAATAGATCAAAGATGTAAATGTTAAAATAGAATCTTCTGGAAGATAAAATAGTGAAAGTCTTACTGACATAAATAGTGAAAACCTTGAAGACTTTCTGATCAGAACCCCAATTGCAGAAGAAATAATACTAAGAACAACAAAGGGATGATTTAAAATTAAAAAATTTCTTCATAGCAAAGTAAACAATAAACAGAGTGAAGACACAATCTACAGAATGAAAAAAAATTTCCAGCTATTCCTTATACAGTGGACAAATATCAATACAAAGAATGCAAAAAATTAGGTCTCTGCCCAAAATAAAAGACCCTATCCAAAAAGATGGACAACTGAAATATACATATACTTCTCAGAAGAAAAAGTTCAAATTTCCAATAAATACATGAAAAATGTTCAACATCTCTGACCATTACAGAAAAGCAAATTGAAACAACAATGAAATTCCACTTTACCCAGAAAAAATAGCTATCATCAAGAAATCAAATAACAACAAATAATGGCAAGCCTGTGGAGAATAAGGAACACTTCTGTATTGTTGACAGGCATGTAAATGGCAATCAGCATGAAGATTTCTCAAAACACTAAAACTAGACATTCATGTGACCCAGAAATTCCCCTTCTAAGTATCATCCTGGAAGAGTTAAAGACATCATATTACAGTGATAGATGTATACCCATGTTTATAGCAGGAAAATTTATAGTAGCTACATCTCGGAAGAGATCCCTATGTGCACCAACAGATGAATAGACTAAGAAAAGGTAGTACTGATATATAATGGAGTACTACCCTGCCACAAAGAGGGATAAACTTAAGTCATCTGTAGAAAAGTGAATGTATCTTGAGACTGTAATGTTCAACGAAATAAATCAGACACACAAGCTTAAATACCACATAGTTTCTCTCATATATCTCTTATTTATATTTTGGAGAAACCCAAAATATAAATAAAGAGCAAAATAAAAGATGGATAATAGGAATAGGGAGATAGATCTTTTCCAGTGGGAAGGGTACCAAGAGATAGAGGGAAGGGAGGGGGATGACAGAGAGAGGGAAGGCTAAGAGGATGAAAAAATTAAAATGTGTACATGTACTAACTCCTGACAAGAAATGTGATCATTATGTGCTGTAAACATTGACTAATAAAAATAAAATTTGAGACAAAAATTGTCATGGTTGTGTCAACTTGAATAAGAAATGCCCAACTGATTGGCTTAGCAGAGTTCTGAGTGCAATTGAATAGATTTACTGAAGATGAAAGAACCACGCTGGGTGTGAGTGGCACCAATCAATAGGCTTGTAGCCTGAACAGAAGAAAAAAGGGAAGGAAGAAGGAAGGCTCACTGCTGTTTCTTCAGAGTAGCTCCATCTTCACCTCCGATGGACATCCATCTCCTGGCTTCCAGGGCACTCCCTTCAGCCTTCCATCATGGAATATTTATTTGGCTTCCTGATACAAGCTTGAGCAGGACTCCGCAGTGAGCTCCAGCCTTGACTTTTGACTAGATCGTTCAGAGCCCCAGTGCTCAGCACACCCTTTGCACTCTTCTACACCTGCCTCTGCAGGTACCAATCGCAAGCCTACCTTGTAAATTCATAGTATTTAACATATGTTGTATTATATTATATTGGTGAGCACTGACTGATACAGATTTTGGTAACAGTAATGGGTTCTTGGCTGTGATGCTAGCTGGCCACAATGCCTTGCGAACTGGCTTATGGGAAGAGTTTAGAAAGTTTTGGAGATGCCAACTAGAGAAGCAGCCTTAGAATGCTGTGAGCTGAACTTAATGGGAGATTCTAGTCAGAGCTCAGAAGACCAGAATGCTGATAAATGCGACTGGTAGAGACCAGGCTCAGGAGATCTCGGTTGGGAAGAAGGACCACATTGGTAATTGAACTCCAAGCCATGTGTGCTATGCTTTGGCAGAAAATTTGTCTGCATTTTGGTCATGTCCAGAGACCTTACAAGAGCTTCAGATCAAGGGCAGGCTAACTAATCTGGCAGAAGAAATTTCAAGGCAGTATAATGTTTAGGTAGTGGCAAGGTTACTGATAGGGGCTTTTAGTCAGCTACACCTTGAGGATCAAGAGTGAATGGCCCAGCAGAATGACATGAAAAGTTTTGATTTAGGCCAGAAAGAAAGCCCCAGTAAAGCTGTAGTCTGCAAAGACTGAACAGAGGAGAACTTGGTTGCTGAAAAGATTAGCAATATAAAACCATGTACTTTGGGACAGGATATTAGAAAACTGGCTTGAGAGCAACAACCCTAAGGACTTCACACTTTTCAGACTCAAAATTGCAAAGGTAAAAGCCTATTTTTTGACAGGAGAGCCCCCAGACACCAGAATAGTAGTGACCTAGTGAATTTTCCCCTCAGGATTGGGTTCATGGTACTCAGCCATCTAGGCACTTGACCCAACAACCAAAAGAGAAGGAAGCCTGGCTATTATTCCATCAGACCTTAGTATCATCCACATGGTGCTAGTTTTAGGCACATGCAGAATGCAAGAGCTGTGCAGTCAGGAAGGCTTCCACACATATTTCAGAAGAAGCCTTTAGAGGCAGGGTAGTGTGCCTCTGAGAAGGTAATGTATGAAGTCATGAGTGTGAAGCCAAAAATACAGTGGAGACCCCAGAAAGCTGAAGCCAGGAATGTGAATCACCTGAGGAAAGTCACAAGGAGTAAGCAAAGCCAGCCCAAGAAAGAGGCCATGAAGGCTACAACTACTGGCTGTGCCACAGAAGGGCGCGACCCCCCAAGTGAACTCTTTTGGAGTTCACATCATGCCACAGATTATACCAGGTTCTCAACATGAAACTATGGGATTTATTGTTTTCCTTGCTGGATTTTTTTCTTGCTTTGGTGCCCATTCCTTTCTATTCCCTTTTTGTACCTTTTGGAATGCAAATGTTTATCTCATGTTATTGTATGTCAGAATGCTTAACTTTCTTTTCATTTTTACAGGTGCTTATAGCTAGGAGTTTGCCTTAGAACTTTGGACTTAGACTTTTCAGCAATTCTGAAAAGAGTTTGACAACTCTTAGAGATAGACTAAATGCATTTTACATAAGGGGATGCACATGAACCTTTTAGGGGCCAGGGATGTTATGACCTTTTAGGGGCTAGGATTTAGGGGCCAGAATGTTATGGCTTGTATCTAGATGTCCCCTCGAAGCCTCACGTGTCCCTAAGTAGGGATTTTGGGAGATTACTGGATGTGATACTGGCTTAGTCCATTGATGGGATTAACATAGTTCTGGGTGTGGATAATAAATTTATTGAAGAGAGAAGACGCACCATGGGGTGGGTGGCACCAACCAATAGGTTTATAGTCTAGATTAAACAAAAAGGGTATGAGGAAGGAAGTCAGCTGCTTCTGACTGCTATGCCATGGATAGTTTCTCCACTGCCATGCCCTTCTACCATCCTGCTCTGCTTTGCAGGCAGCCAACTATGGACTGACACCACTATAACTTCTGGGCTAAAATAAATCTTTCCGCCTTTTTCTTGTATTAAGCATTTTGTCCCAGTAACAAGAAAGTAATGAGACAGGAGTGATTTTTTAAATGAGTTTGAGCAACATTTCATTCATAATTAGTTAAACTTGACAGGAAGAATCTGTTTTTATCTCCCAGGAAGTCTGACCAGCCAGTTCTGACTGTTCTTAGACCGATGAGAACCAGCCAATAGCGACACCTTTGCTTGGCCTTAAGCTAAAAGATTTTATTGGCCCTTTCTCCGGAACCTAAGCAAGGTAAAACAATCGCTTTCCACTCTTTTGGTTAATCTCTAAAGTTTAAGTTGCAAAATAGACTTAGCATGTTGAGTTAGGCTTCTGATGACAAAGCAGCATGGAAATGTAATGTTTCAGAGAATATATATAAACCTCCTAAGATTGTGTTTCAACAAGTACAGTCATTTCCTTTTTCCCCTTCCCTCAAGGCACAGGGTAAACCTGCAGTCCTTTCTCTTTCTGCAAAGTGTCCAGAACGTGTTTTCTTCTCTCCTCTCTTGGGCTCTCCACCCTTGAACATCTCAATCAACACACACCAAGAGTACAACCCCAGATGAATTAAAAAACTACATCAACAAAATTCAAATGGTGAGAGAAAGGAGAACCTTCAAGACTTCCCTTCCCACTCACTCACCCCTATGAAGTACTTTAAAATATTCCAAGAGGCCTCTAAATATATCCCACCTGGAACATATTCTGAGGGCCAAAGACAGTACATAATGGGTCTGGGAAATGTTTTCTGTTCTTTTTTGTAAGTATTTCCCATCTGAGTCAGATTATGACCTTCCTTTTTGATTCATCAACAATGACCTCAGAGAGCATGAAATACTATTTGCCTTTTAGTAGCAACCTGATGACGTATCGGGGATCCCCTTCATCATAGTCAAAGAGATGCCTTTAGCTTCTAACTTATATACAGTTTCCAGTTTCATTTTTTGTATTCACAGCATGAGAGGGTCCCAGGAAATAATTTCTTTCTTGTGCGGTGTATCTCCAAGCCCCAGAGTAGTTCTGGGTCCTATTTGGTTCTTTAAGGATGGCGCTGATCAGATGAAACTAGGTGTGTCGTGTGAAAGGGCATGCTCCTGTCAGGATACACAATCACTTCAGAAGAACTGGATTTTCCCTAATTTTATCATCAAATTATTCCATATCTTTCTGCTTCTACTAGACTAAAATATGGAAAAATTATGAACTGAGGAAAAGGTGACTTTGGGCTCCAAAATAATATAAAAGAACAAAGAAACAAATGTTCCAGGTGATTCTGATAGATGCCAGTGTTTGAAAACCATTGATTTAGGGGCTGGGGATTTAGCTCAGCGGCACAGCGTCTGCCTGGCAAGCGCAAGGTCGCGAGTTCGATCCCAGTACCAGAAAAAAAAAAACAACCAAAAAAAGAAAACCATTGATTTAGGGGCTGGGGATTTAGCTCAGCGGCACAGCACCTGCCTGGCAAGCGCAAGGTCGCAAGTTCGATCCCCGGTACCAGAAGAAAAACAAACAAAAAAAAGAAAACCATTGATTTAGACAATGGGTAAACATTATGAGAAATAACATGGAGACAAAATGAGTGCCTAGAAGAAGCAGGACCAGGAGGTGGAGGGTGGAGCAAGGCAGTGCTGTCCTTTAGATAAAAGCCTCCATTCTTTTTCATGTTAGAATTATGGGTTTAATTACTGTGAAACATTAGAAATTATTTTTAATAATAAATGAGGTTGTGGAGCACATATGCGCAGAAGCCTGCTCTAGACTCTTAGGAGGGAACAGGAAGCTGCTGGTGAAACCCAGGAGCCAAGGCTCAGCACAAGTCACTGCTAAGTAAGTCACAGGTCCTGGGGGACGGCCCTGCCTTCCTGAAGGCTCATCTGCTTCCTTCTCCGTCCCCGCTCCCTGGCTACAGTCTCCCCAGGGAGACAGGCCGGGAGTCCAGCCCAAATGAAGAACTGGCTGGCTTGAAACCGCTGGCCTTCCTGTCACTTTCCCACCCATGCAAAAGCAACTCCTTCCACCACCCCTGCCCACACCCGCCCATCACCGCCCTTCCTGGTCTTCCTTCCTCTTTCCCTTTCCTCCCCCTCCCACCCAGCTCGTGAATCAAGGCCTGCTGGCTTCAGCTGACCAAGAGACGCTGTTGTGAACCGCTTCACAGGTCCAGGATGCCCTTCTCCACCCTCTCCAGGACGGACCAGCTGCACACAGAGCTCATATTCTGTTCGAGGCTCCAGATAGTTGAGTGTAACAATCTCATTTGTCACTGAAAAGACAGAAAGTGCAGAACACTTCAGTTTTCACTGTGTTATATTCTTTAAACTTAGATTGCTGTTACTATAATGTGAACTGAATTTAGATTTTAAAAAATTCAATGTCTTAGTGAAACATAGGTAACTCAGTTTGCAAGGCATCACCATTTCTAATAGAAAGAGAATTGGCCTTTTGAAAGGATATTTCCAGATGATATTTCATACATTAACATGTGTATCTCAGAAACATATTTCTTTTTTAGAGCTTTTGTTTTTTCATTCGTAAAATAATACCTCAAAAATCTTTGACTATATGCAATACTAGATTGACAGAGGAAAACTCAACTGGAATAATATAAAATCATTTTATTTGGACTATTTTCAAGTACATAAGACTGATCACAACTGAGCGATCAAGAAGGCTCATGTTGCTTAACATGACCAGATAACTGATTTTAATAGCTGTAACACTGCAATGAAAGGCTCTGAAGTTCCTTGAAAGTAGTGCCCGTAAACAGATGGTACCTGCTTTTCTCCTTAGCTATTGGCTTTAGTCAAGCTCTGTAGATATTCAAAGGTACTTTCTTGCTTTATGACACATTTATAACCGTAAGAAAAAATGGCCCATATTTAACAGTTCTTTGAAGGCTACATTTTGGATGTCCACTTATAGAAAAGGTGAAAGATCTAGCCATCGATGCTGGAATGAGCAATCCAGAGAAACAGTTTTACATCCCTAAGGTTCCAAATTTTGACTAAGTCTGAAATAGAATGTGAACAGCACAATAACAAATAATACAGTGACTTGGTTCAATGTATGCAGATCGGCATCCTCATTGAGCTGATGAACACTTTCCTTTTCTTCTATTTTATAGCCATCTTAGCTATCAGCGAGTATAGGGCCCTTTGAGGGAAATCAGAGGCACAGCAAGATGAAGGTATTGAAGGAAGGGTACGTGTTATACATATAAGCTTGATAAGGGCAAGTCTGTCTGTAAGACAGTCCAATTAGAGCAGCGTGGTCAATTCATAATGCAATCTTCTTAAAATTATGATTTTACATCATGACGTAACAAATAGAACTATAGTCTGTGTTTAGAAATAAATGCAACTGTTTTCATGAGTTTGTGACATCTTGTCACATTTTGTTGCTTTATTGTCTTTCAGGAAGCTGGTGAAGAGACCTGCTCCTCACTTGCCTGCACTCCCTTCTCTGCCCACCCCAGTGCTCTCTGTCTGCCATGGCCCCAAAATTTCAGGTTCAAATTCTAAAAATCTCCATGCTCAGAGTCTGCAGGATAGGGCAAGACACGAAATGAGAAAAAGAATAAGCACCCTCCACGCAGCAGAAGCAGTCACTTCTAGGATTTAGACAGATTCTCTCTGCCTTCCCTGGGCTTTCTCGTGACCACATATGTGGTATAGATATGTATGTTTCATGATGTCCAGGCAAGACATGCTGAAGACAGGATTGGAGACCTGGAGACGCCTGGAAGGGAAATACTGACATAGATAGTCACCGTGACGCACGCCGATGCTGTGGCCCATATACAGCTTTCATAAAGCCTGGCACAGAACTCAGAGGGCTCCCTCCCAAATAATCTGAAATGGAAATCTCTACCATAGCCACCTCTGGAGGTAGAGGGTTGGGACAGAGAGAAGGGAATTTTCTTGTTTGGGGACAAATTTTTCCTGTGCCATATCCTCAGCTGGGGCTTCTCCCGCCAAATCTTACCTTGAATGTGTCGCCAGCCCTCGTGATGATTAACAGGTTTGTACAGAAGTTTCTTGGATTTGATCGGTCCATCCCCAAAGTAAGGCTCAGAGCTGATGTTGATGACAGCAAAGTTGTGTCCAGTGTCAATCACATTCGGGGCATTCCGGGGCTTCGGAAGAACTAAATACAATTTCAGCAATCAGATCAGTCCTTGGGCTTGGGTGTGTTGCTCTTAAGCAGGGATAGAGGATGCGTGTTCTAGTTTTTCTTCATTCTAACTTCCTGAGTTTTGCTTTGTAAGTTGGTATGAATATTTGATACTGGTCTTCCCACTAGACCATATATTCACTCATATTCACCCTACCACAACCACGTTTATTACTTTATACTTGTACAGATCGGACAATGACTGGGCTGACATCAGGTATCTGCAGAGTTCCTTCGAAGCTACAAGGGAGATTTTGTGGTGGTTTCTAGAGGCTCTTTCTAGCTTCTAGAGACCTTTTGCATTCCTCAGTCCAGGCTTCTTCCTCCCCTTTAAATCCAACAGTGTCAGGTTTCTGACCCTTCTTCCACTGTGACACCTCTTCCTGACTATGGGCAGGAAGGTTCTCTGCCTTTAAGTACTTATGCTTAGCGTGGGTGCATGAACTAGGTCTCAGTGGAGGTGACAGAACTGCCATGAGGCTGAAAATTGAGCTTTGGAGGAACAAAAACCTTAGCTAATACAATACTTTATAGTGCTCCAAAGGGATACATACATAAACTGATGTATAGTACATCTGTGCTATTAAATTTGATGGTGATATGGGAGAAAATAAAATTTCTAAAATAGCTCTTCAGCAGGATGATAAAAAGATAATAAAACACTTTAGTAGACTCTAAATTACATTAAGACAAGGACCAGATTGTGTAGATCTGTTTACCAGCCCAGCATCTATCAGGCGCTGAATAAATGGTTGCCAGGTGAATTTCCAGTGAGTTCCATAGCACCATTACAAATAGATTTTCTTGGGCTGTAGGTGTAGCTCAGTGGTACAGATAGCACAAGTCAGGCTCTGGGTTCAATCCCCAGCATCACAAGAAAACCTTCTTCTCATTCTCTCTGCTTTCTGATTACCATGAAGTGAGCAGGTCTCCTCTGCTCTGCCTTTCCACATAATGTTTCTGCATCACTACAGACCTAAAAGCAATAGAGCTGATCAACTACGGACTAAACCCTCTGCAACTATGAACCAAACCTGAGGAATGATCAAACAATATGGTGAATGTTTAAATAAAAAAATTAAAAATTTATTACAGTAAAGGACAATGACATTAATCCTTCTCAGAATACTCACACTCATTTTAACACACTCATCCAATTGTTCTTGCCACTTTCTCAAGCAGTTCTGAGTCTTCATTCATGTCTTTTTAGGGCTGCTCCAATGTCCCAAATCAGTTCAAAATGTTTATGGCAGTTTCTGTCCAAAAAAATTATACCAGGTCCTCATCCACCTTACTCACTAGCTCTCAAACCATGTGACTTCCTGTGGTTTCCCAGAGGCAAACTGACTTTCATGAAAGGTAAACACTTTTAATCAATTCAAGACATTAAGGCAGCCACAAAAACACAACCAAGACATTATGTCTTGTACTCTGAGTAACTACTTTGAAGATAACAATACACAGTGTAATGACTATTGTTATTGTTTGATTATTTGCTTAAAAATTTACTTTCATTTTATGAAAAAATAAAATGAAAGCCTTGCAGAACTGCTTTGGGTAGTGACAAGTTTACAGGACAAGTGTGCAAGAAGATCAGGGGGTATTTTGAGGAGAATTAATGCCATTGCCTGCTATTCTTTAAACATTTTTCAATTTAAAACATTTACCATATTTTCTGATATCACGTAAATTCCTCTTCCTTTGAAGTTGTGTTTTTCAGGTATTTTATCATAGCAATAGAAGCCTAACATACTCACCATCCTTAGAAATAACCTTGAAATCTTTGCTCAAATATTATGTTTTCTAGAAGGCTTGACTATCTGATTTAAATTAGTTATCTCTCCAGCCCTACCCAGCACTCCTTAACCCTATTTCTGCTTTACTTCTCCATGGTACCAAGCATTTTAACAAACTCACATCTTATTTATTTGCTCACTGCTTATCTCTCCTCAGAAGGTACACTGCATGACAGGAAAGCTTTGCTTTTTTCCCTTTCACTAATGCGTTCCCAGTGCCTGCAACAGGCTCTGTACTGGTCAGCTTCCCATTGCTTGGACAAAATACATGAAACACACAATACCGGAGAAGCGGTCGCTTTTGGGTCACAGTTTCAGAGGTTTCAGCTCATGGTCAGCTGACTCTGAGGCAGAAGGCAGAAGGAGGAAGGCTGCAAAATTCAAGGCAGCCAGGAAGCAGCGCAGAGAGGAAGAGCCGAGCTGAAAAGGCCAGATACAGTCCCGACTGCCAGGCCTCCGGGACCCACCCAGGCACACCCAGAGGTGTGCTTTACTCCTCTCCCAGGTCAGTGATGGCGAACCCTTTAGAGCTTCCAGTGATAACAACCTGGGGCCGTGGCACGCGTGCCATAGGTTTGCCACCATGTCCCCCTCGTCTCTCAGCCCACTCTAGTTGACAGTCAAATCCCATCCAATGGACTGAAACATAACGGGCCTTCAGTAAAAGTCGATCAGCCAGCTGAATGAAGGAAGACCTAGGAGTTCTCCAGGCTGCAGATAATGGAGCCAGTAAAAACCCTGATCAAGAGTATCCTCTGACAAGAGGCAGCCCAAGCTGGTGTTAAGTTGGGTAAGACTGAGTATGCATATACTTCCTTAGAACAGATGGCAGGGCTGCAAGTAAATTCATTAAATCAGGCTGACTTGTATGATTAAATAAGACCACCACTTTATTTACACCTGTTGATGCATACTTTAGTATAGCTGCCCACAATGAAAAGAACTGTTCCAAAGGTTTTTCTTCATAATTTATCATTTTATGTTTGCTTTTTCATCCTTTTTATTCATAAAAGTACAAAACTCATGTGTATTTAGCTCAAAGGACTTTCCCTGTGGAAACACCCGTGTAATCACCACCCAGATCAAAGAGAGAGAACATTGCCAGTCCACTGGGAGGCTTGCTCCCGCCCTTTCCCAGCCAGTATCCTCCACCCAGAGGTGATGCCTGTCCCTGAAGGTAAGTATTGCCTACGCTTTAATTCCATATCAATGGAATTAGAAAGCATGTGCCTCCTTTGTTTAGCATTATATCGGTAAGATCCATCCATATTGTTGTAGGAATTAATTCTTTGATTGAAGTTTAATGTCCCATTGTATGATTTCTATGGGCTGCGCTGTGCCTTCCCCCCAATTCATATGTCTTTGACTTAACACCCAGGACTTCAGGATGGAAAGTTATTCAGAGAGTAACTTTCTTAATAATTTAATAATTCTGAGAATAACCTTTTAAAAAGGCTAACTAAATGAAAATGGGACCATTAGGGCAGTCTTGCTCCAACATGACTGGTGTCCTTATAAGTTCAAACTAGGACACATGCATAGAGAAGAAGAACTCTCGAACACATGAGAAGATGGCCATCTACAAGCCAAAAAGGAAAGCCTTAGAAGAAATCCTGCTGGCACCTTGATCTACTTCTAGTGGACAGAACTATGAAAAAAATAATTTCTGTTGTGTAAATCACCTATCCTGTAGTACACTGTTATAACAGCCCTCGCAAGCTAATACATATGAACACTCTGTATCACAATTTACTAAACCTTCTAATGTTACTAGACACTTGGGTTGATTTCATTGGGGGATATTAGAAATAAAGCCATTCTGAACATTATCAAGATGTCCTTCTTCAACCTATGCACTCCTTTGTTTTAAACACATACCTAGGAGAATTCCTGCATCATGGGGTAGGTGTTACATTTTGCTTTATATTGCCAGTTTTTGAAAGTTACTTGTCTCAGTTGGTACCGATAGCAAAACCTAGAACCTATTTTTAACAATACCATAATGAGAGACACATTGATTTCCCTGAAGCTTATCTCCACTTTATGGCTGTCATCAGTGTCACAGCAAAGAGGCCCCAGCGAGTTAGGATTGGAAATGTTTTCATGCATTGATCTTGTGTGCTCTTTCATCACAGAAGAAAGGTTAGAACCAGAGACTCTCCTGCATGTTAGCCACATGGTTTGGTTCTGACTTATTGTTTTTCCCACGGGCAGCAAACATTCCAAGGAGATTAAAAATAAGATAATTTGTCTTGTCTACATATCATTTCCGTTCTTCCAAGAATGTGTAAGATGTAAGGAATTATTTTGATTGCGTGAATGTTCTACTGAACAAAACTGATTTGGTCTTTTTCCTATGAGCCAAAGAGTAACAAGGACTTCAGCTTTCAAGGATGGTTTACATCGATTCTCAGAGCAGAGAATCCAAGTCTATGAGGCTGCATTTATGCTGTTACTGTGGTTAGCCTTTTAAGAAAACTGTATTCTGAGTATTTCCATCATTTTATTCATAGAAGTTACCTCTGAGATCTCCCAAAGATTCACAGTAAGGTAATGTGTTGGGTCAAACACAAAGCCACTGTGGTCATTTTGTTTCTTCACCTGTAATTGAAGAGTTTCAGAAGCAAAACAATCTAGAGCTGGTTCTGGAGTGAGGAGACCCAGGTTCAAAACTAAGATTCCTCTCATTGGCTGTCCACTGTTTTGGTTTAGATCCAAAATGTCCCCAAATTTTTCATGTGTGAGAAAGGGGATTGGATCGTGGTGCACTACAGTCATCAGTAAATTCATCTATTGATGATTTCAGTAGCTGAATGTGCTGTCAGGAGGGGCCAGGCTGGAGGGGACTCACCGGGGTGTAACACGGTAGAGTGCGTTCTTGTCCCTAGCTTCGCCTTTCTCTCCCTGCTTTCTGGCTGCCATGGATTGCGCACTTGTCGTCTACCATGCCCCGGCCATCCTGTCCCTGCCTTGAAGCCAGCTGACCATGGACTGAAGCGGTGAGTCAAAATGAACCTCTCCTCCTTTAAACCATGGGTTTTATACTTGTCCCAGTGACAAGAAAGGGACTAAAGTGCCTTACACATGTTAACCAAGCCCTCTGTGTCTATTTCTTCACCGGCAAAAGGGAGATAAAAATATCTACTACCCAGGTTTCTTGCAAAGATTAAGTAAGATAAAGTATATGATGCCCTTAGCCCAGGGCCTTTTCCAGAGTATATACAGAGAGTGTTTAGATATTGTTGTCTAAGCAGCTCACCAGCCATGTTTATTTGAATTGACCTCCAGTTTATTTCCTCCCCTCAAGCCACAAATATTCACATGTCCACTCAGATTCATTTAACTTTTGTAACACTAACTCATAATAGGAAAAATACCCATTACCCTGAGTATGTGGAAAAAATTCATCTTAATTGTGTATCACAGCTCCATATTGAATAATCCCCAAATCAGAGGTTCTCCAAATCATTCTCTGTAATGTGTAGAAAGTAACAATGCTGGGCTGGGGATTTAGCTCAGCGGCAAAAGCGCCTGCCTGGCAAGCGCAAGGTCGTGAGTTCGGTTCTCGGTACCGGAGGGAAAAAAAAAAAGTAACAATGCTAAGCTTTCTAGGAAATGCAGTCACTAGCATACAGATTGTATCAAATACTATTTTTTAAAGGCAAAAAATTTATACAATCTGAAGAGAAACAAGAGTATAGACACTATTTTAAATACTTTAAACATTCGAAAAATCTTCTTAAGAACCCTAAGAGGGAGACAAAATAAGCTCCTTTTCTGTGTAAGGAACGGTTCAAGGATGTTTCTACATTCATTTGCTAAGGGCCACATACGAGATTACAAACTGCTGAGGACAAAGATCTATGCACTGCTGTGTTCCTCCAGAGATTACACTGCCAATTTTTTTCATTCTATTTTTAGGCTTATGATTTTAAGAAAAAAGAATCAGTATCCTGGAAAATATCTCAAGAGCGTTAGAGGTCAGCTAGCATTTCTCTAAAAGCACACATTTCCCTACAAACTTATAAATATGGTGCTTGAAGAATATAAACTCTCCCTACAGAAAATGACGCTTACCTTTAACAGAAATGTTGAAAGGCTTTTCCACCATGCCAGCCACCGTGTTCACACTGCAGACCCAAACTCCTGAGTCAAAGGGGCGGAGCTGCTGGATGGTGAATATGGCTACTGAGAAATCATCTGTGTGGTTAAAGTCGTTGGGCTAGAATGGTCAAATACAAAAAAACAAAACAAAACAAAACTTCTAGAGAAGCATAAACACAAAGGTCCATAACGCTGACCCCATCCCATTGTTTAATAAGAAATTTTCTAGGAGAGATTAAGAAGCTAAATGCAATGCTAATATAATTACTGGCTTCTTTCCAAAGCTATTGTAGTAGCCCTGAAAGTTTATATTGGATTGATGCCCTCTCAGATCCTGCTGTTATATTCGTGCTTTGGAGTGTGGAGTAAACACAAGTAAGGAATCCAGTTCTTTTTAAACTTCCCTGGTAATGTTTGTTCCTTTCTGGTGCAATACAAACATGTCAGGGTGGGAGGACAAAGTGCCTTGCCATGTATCTGAGGGGCTGTCAGGAATGGTGTGATGGGAAAAGTCAGGGCTCTAAAAGTACTTCTGGCCAATTCTTCAGTTACATAACCTCATCCAGCCAGTTTCCACTTGTATAAAAAAAAGGTGACAGGTAGTGCTTGGAAGTTATGTATACAACAGCAAGATGGCTACTGCATAAGATGCTCCAGGCATTGCCTCCTTACTGGAATCAATTTCAAGAGCCATTCACATATCAAACTACCTTCACGTGAGCTAAGGAAATAAGGTAAGAGATCACAGTATAAAAATTGTTTAAAAGACTTAGTAAATAAGGTAGGAAGGGAAGAGCTGTTCACATCATTTCTCCACTGGCTCCAAGCAGTACAGTGTGGAGATACCTGCCACTTAGAAGAAAGAGGAAATTAAGCTCAGGTCTTAGACTTGGAACCTAGTACCAGGCCTGCCACACTCAGACCCAATGTCAGGCTGGACCCCAGAGTGCCAGCCCATAAGCCAGCACCAGCAGACTAAGTTGCTGGACCTTCCTTACCACAGCCAAGGGACTGCCTCTACCACTCCTCCCCCAGCTTCAGCAGCACGGCAAGGAGCAGGGGAGGAAAGCAAATGTTGGACATTGCCATTGGGTGCAGTGCAAAGCCCACAGTGAGACCAAGCTCCAGGTAAACCACCAACCCTACTGATCCCAGGCGAGGGCTCAGCGATGTAGCTTCCAGACTTGCCCTGACGTCAGGCTGAATCTTGCACCCCCATGAGACAAACTTTTGCTTCAGCCTGAACCATTGCTAGCCACAATGTAGTCCTGGCACAAAATGCTGAGATTGTGCAGGTACTTGAAGCTGTCAGACTCAAGTGGGATCTCAGTGGGATCCCGGATGGCCAAGAGACCGCCTCCATCATCCCTCCTGACTCTCCATGAATGTACTAAGGAGCAAGACGCCTTCCACTGGGGATAGGTGATGAAAATAGCACAGAACTATCTTGGAACTCAGTTCTGGTAAAACCAAACACTGGGAAGTACCTGCAGGTAGAGCTGGGTATAAACCCATGACCCTCGTTAACTGGACTTTAATTCTGGCCACCATCATCCGTGGCTGGTTACAATGGTCTCAAGCCAGGTGCCTATCTTGGCAGCAGTCATCTCACAGCAGTGAGATGCTGAACTAGATCCCCAGCCCCAGATGGACACTTGTAAAGAAGATCCTACTGAAATGCAGATATGGAGCAAAGCCAGGCTTGGGGTGCCTTCTAGTGCTGACACAGTGACAACACAGCAATAGAAGGCTTACTGCAAACCTGGAGTTAGGGTACCAGCTAGTGTCAAAATAGCAGTGTTCACAGACTCAGAGGAAATAGACTGCTTCGAACTGCTGGAAGGGCAAGCATATAGGTAGGTTACAAGGATTGGAAAAATTACCTAATCCTTGAATATGTAGGTGATTTTGTGTGTCAGCAAGCATCAAGAACTTTCAGGGTCTCTGGACCTCACATCAAAAACAAAATAAGGCACTCAAAAAATACTCATAGCAATCAATTTTTGTGGTCTGTCAGATTCCTTTAAGGAAACTCAGTGAGCTTCAAGAAAACACAGAGAAGTGATTCAGTACTCTAACAGCAAAATTTAAAAGAAATTGAAGTAACTGGAAAAAAATCTAACAGAAATCTTGCACTAACAAGTACACTAAGCAAACTTTAAAACAAAGAATGTATCAGTAGCACACTAGATCAAACACCAGAAAGAACTAGTGATCTTGAACACAGGCTCCTTGAGAATTCAGACCAAGAAGAAAAAGGAGAAAGTGCTACGGAAAAGCTTGCAGTAACTTTGGGACAACGTTGAAAGAATATTCAAGTTATTGAGATTCATGAGTAACTTGAGACTGTCAGAAGGTTATAAACCTTTTTTTTTTTTTTTTTTTTT